GTGCTCAGATATGAAAATGGTAAACGTGACCCTATCAGCTTCCACTCCTCGGCGAAAGCCCTTCTTAATCAATTTATATGCCTCTTGAACCCTCCCCTTTTTACAGAGGCTGTCAAAAACTGCATTGTATGTACAGATATTAGGAGCGAATCCTTCTTTTCCCATTATATCCATCAATTCATATGCTCTATCAAAATTCCCAGCTTTGCAATGCCCAGAAACGAGAGTAGTATACGTATTGGTGTTAGGAACTAATCCTTGTTCTTGCATTCTGCTCAATAACATCTCTGCACGGCTCATTTTGTCTTCTTCGCAATATCCACGGATCATGGCAGTATATGTATGTACATTTGGCTTGTAATTATCGCTCCGGACAAGCTTAAGAAACAGCCTGAATGCCCTTTCAGTCCAACCTTTCTTGCAGAGCCCATCAATCAAAGCTGTATGTGTATACACATTAGGCTTCCAACCTTTCCTAACCATTTCCTCCAACATTTCAAATGCTTGTTTAATGCTGCCCCTCTGGCACAACCCATGAATCAAAGATGTGAAATTAATCAAATTTGGCTTCACACCCATCCGAATCATCTTATCAAAGCACCAAGACGCTCGACTTACAAGACCCTTTTCGCAAAACAGACTTATAATCAAAGTAAACGTAGCATTATCCAAAACAAAGCCTCTCTCAAGCATCTTACTCAACCACCTATCCACCTCCAAAACTCTGCTGTTCCTACAATACCCAACAACCATAGACTTATAGCTCAAAAAATCAGGCGACACCCCTCTCACGCACATTTCCTCAAACAAATTCTCTGCATACTCAACCAAACCCAAGTCACAGGCGATTCCAAGAACACAATTCAACGTCCGAGTACTCAACATAAGGCCTTGGTTTTGCATCTCAAAGACCATGTCGGCAGCCTCCTTCAACCTCTCAATCTCAGCAAAATTCCTCACCATGCAATGAACCACTTCATGGGCTCTCTCCAAATTACCATTCCCAAATAACGACATTGCACAAAATATATAAAGCCGCATAAAATACCGAAACTTGGGAAACCCAATTGCCCAATAGAAGAAACTCAAGGCCACCATGGAACCAGCCTCTTCAGCCAGTGAAGCAACAACAGAAATAGCCTGTTCATGGGTCAAAGAATCAGCATTTAAGTCGACGTTTAGCTTGGGAGGTGATGATCTCAGATGGGTTTGTGGGGAATAGGACTGACATACCAATGCACAGATTGTTCTGACAAGAGACTGAGATTGGGAAGAGCTGGAGGTGGAGGTGGTGGTGGCGATGGTAGTTGTGGAGTATGGGTCACCATAGTGAGTGTAGGAAGAGAGTGCTCTGAGAGAGAAGAGGGTGTAGAAGAGAGAAATGGGGTTTGAAGTAGGCGACAATAGCTTCTGTTGGAGTTCATGAGTTCTTCTGAGAATTCGAAGAGAAACCATGAAAGTAAAAGAGGCTCACAGAGGCTTCTCAGTCAGTTCGACTGGTCTCCACTGTATCGTACCTTGGCTTCAAGAACTTTCTTTTTCCGATTTATAATTGGTTTGAATGTTTTAGAGTAAAATGGGCCGGCCCAGGCCAAATTATGAATATAGGGCTTTTTTCGTTTCTTGGGTTACAGAATCTGCAGCACATAAGGGGTTTTGGTAGCACGTTTTATGAACATATTTCTAGCAATTAAACTTTCTTTTATTTTATGGCTGCAATTGATTGTTAGGATTTTATGAATCTCATGTTATTAGTGTAGTATTGTTTACCATTCACCGTGTTTAGATCAGATTAATTACTCTAAATGGTTATATAATATGAAATGGTTATATAATATGAAATTTACATTTAATAAATTGAACGCATTGCGTCGGACACTAATACATATCACATATCACATGACATCGTGTAAAACACTAGAGCTCCCATGTTTTTATTCATTTGAGGTCAATATATATTTTTGAAATTAGAGTTAAGTTATTGCTCCTACCTTAGAGTTAGAGTCAGTGCTTGGCCAGGTGGCAACTAGAGTATTGATCTAAGTTAAAGATAAAATATCCATTTGACTAATTTGCGAGAGATATTGAATCCTAATTTAATTTGGCACAGTTGGTTCAGCTTATTTTGCATGTGAGCTTCGAAAATCTGCAAGGTACACTGCACCTTTCATTAACAATTTGCTGAACTGATAGGATTAATTTAGAAGAAATTAAGATCTTCCAAGATCCTTATAACCACCATTTCTAGAGATACTGATACAGACAAAAAAAATAAAAAATAACTCAGCACAAGTCCATTGTAATGATTCTCTTTGGTTGCACTACAATCCTCTGTGATGCCCTTTCAAATCATTTCAACCTTCTATTCCAATAGGCCATTGAAAAAGTGTTGAGGCATGATCTGAGCAACCAGTCGATGCCTCTAACTGCGGTAACTGAAAAAAGCATTGGCCATTTGACACTCAATTGGAAGACCTTTATGATGATTAGGTAACAGCAAGCCAGCAACACAGAGTTCCTTCTTTTAAGCTTTGCCTTTAAAAATCCAATCCATCCCTATTTTCATGGGCTGATGAGAGTTGAATATGTGCTCATCAAATCCATCACATGGGAACCCGCCATCTTTACTTGATTGCAAGATATTTTTTACTATGAAGGAAAAAACTATACAAGAACCAACAGTGACATGAACTTTTGATATTTTGAGAGGTCATGTCAAATTGTCAATCCACTTATAAATTAATGAA